AAGCAACCATAGCAGAGCAAATTCCCGGAGATCATCAATATGCATGATTATAACACCTCCAACTTTGTCACAAGCATCGGGATGGCGAGTATGAAGTTTTGCAAGCTCATTGTCGCAGCCAATAAGGTACCTATCATGCAAAGCCATAAAATAAGTAAAGCAGGTTCATACAAAAACAGACAGAAGAGATAAGATTCACAAAGGGTAATCCAGAAATAAGTTGAAGATAGACATCAATCCTTGTTCCCCTCGACTTACTCATAAGGGGTTGAAACCGGTCGACCGCGTGCTGAGTTGAACTCCCACGGTGTAATTGGGCCTCTCAATATCATGTCCGCATCAAGAATAACAATGTACTCGGCATCAGTATTTACATGGTTGAGCCAGTGAACAACAGCAGCTGGTTTATTAATTGCGGGATACCTGAAATGGATCGAGCAACAAAAAGTGTCATACGTTAAACGAAATGGCTATACCAATGACTCGATTTAGGAAGCAGGTTGGTTCTCAAAACATGTCAAAACTAATAAACCCCAACCAATCACCCACTAGTTTTCAAGGCTTAAACAATTTTATAATCATAGAATCAAGCCGAATGTCAGTTCAAAAGCTAAGAGAACTATAGATCTAGAATTACCAGTCACCCGTGAGTGGATGGAGGCTCATCGAAGGGACATAATGAGTAGGTGCCAGGTCATGGCCTTTATAATGCTTTAACTCTTCATCTGTACAGCTGAGAAGACGTGTGATATTTCCGGGCTGGCCACTGAGGTGAAAACTGTGCATAAGTCCTACAGTCTGCCAATCAAAGTAAGGAATGCATTCCGTGGAAAATAGAGTGTGAATTTTCGGATATGGTTTTGTGGGTTCATCTATTTCTTTTCGCTCCTCAGCCACCTCAATTTGTACCCTGGGAGGAGTAGGAAGCTTCGGCTGAGTAAGTTCTGCGAAAGTTTTGCTTTTCAAAAAGCTTAGATATTTGACCACTTTGGCTTCGGGCATCCATTTCTGGCATGTTGTAAGAGAAGGCCCTCATTCAAAGTATTAATACACTCTATACTAAAAAATAAGCCACGTCTTTATTCAGATCCGATTCCATAGCTTTCACCTGCATAAAGAAATGATATACTAAATATCCATTATAACAGGAAAGTTGTAGTAGATGCATTAAAGATAATTGTAAGAGAAAAATGCATTACATGAAAATAAAAACAAACACTTAAGCAGGCGTTGTAGTGATTCATTCATTTGTGTTCTAGAGGTTAACATACTTCTCGAGGATAAGGAGGTTCTGAAAAGAGTCGACCGCAATCATAAACAATACCATCTTCATGGTGTTGTAATTTATCAAAAGACCAGTTACCCACACTAAATGGCAAGCCGTAATGTAGAAGAATGGGCTCAACACCCTGTAGTGGAGTATATCCCGGGTAGATCATCAAGTCGTCGTTGATCTTATGCCTAAGTCCAACCTGAAAAACAAAGAACGTAACCATAAACAAAGATGGATATAGAGATATCACGAACAGCACAGCTGACGGAGAAATTTTCTGTTCTTAATATGTGGGGTAAAAGAATCAAAATAACGTACTTCTGCTGCACCAAACGAGTAACCGTACATCTCACTAATCCAGCCTGTTCCATAGATGTCACCAGTTATATTAGTCGCCCAGTGAGCTCGGTCTTCACGTACTTCTTCAGTCTTGGAAAGCCACAAAGGTGCCAGAGCTCGAAGATCATCTATGTGCATGGCTAAAAGCCCACCAACCTTTTCACAACGTTCCGGGTGCTTTGTGTGCAATTTCGCCAGAATATTATCACATCCTATCAAGTACCTGAAATACCAAACAATTACAAATATCTAAATTTAGAACATAGAAAAATGAATGTTGAAGCAGTGTCACAAGTACAATCCTCTGTTTCAGATTAGTTAGCATAAACAAATGAAAAGTTTAATACCCGTAATAAGCAGCAACAGGCCTGCCTCGCTCCGCGCCAAGTTCCCAAGGTATAATTGGAACTCGGAGGATCATGTCCGCATCCAAAATTATGACCCAATCAACATTCTGTGCATCTTTACTATGTTCGAGCCAGTAGACAACTCCAGCAGGCTTGTTAATTGCAGGGTACCTGCAGACTTAAAAGAAGAAAATGTCTGTTATTATGCCTGGAAGTTCTTCCATGACTCGAACCGAAAATAGTATAAAAGCTTCTTCGAGCCAAATCAAGTGAAAATTCGGAAAAGCGATGGAATCCACAATCAACTCATTACTCCATACAAAGACATAATTCAATCAGAAGCAGTATATGCTAGAAGGAATCAGTATATGCTAGAAGGAATGTTAAGTAAACATGAAACATTGGAAGATGTTTATCATTCTTGAAGATTTAAACATGTGAAAACAAGATTCACAACAACATTATTTCATACACCACACATATTTTGTTTCAATTAGTGTAAGAAAAATAAGAATAAAAACCTGCTAATCCAACACAATAGAACTTTCAATCCCTAATTTGATTCATCAAAATGTCCTAAAAATTCAAGACTTTATATCAAACACCTGGTTAGCATCAATTAAAAGAAAGAGTGATCAAAAGTCAAAACCCAAACTTAAACAAATAGAAAAATATGCTAAAAAATGGGATGAAAGGCAGAAACTTTTACCAGTCACCAGTTTTTGGATGTCTACTCATAGAGGGGACTTCAAGAGTGGGAGCCAAATGCATCCCTTTATAATTCATTTTCTCCTCCTCCGTACAGCTGAGTAACCGGGTCACTGGTCCGGGTTGCCGGGCCTTCCTGAAGCTATGCATGAATCCAACCGTTTGCCAATCAAAGTAGTTCTGGCATTCCACGGAGAACAGAGTGTGGATCCTATATGGAGCCTCAACATCCGGTTTTTGACCCGAAATAGAACCACCCAAAAAACTCAGTAATATGATGAAAGCTAAGAACCTAGCCATCGGAGGCATGAATCTGAGAGCCTGATTAAAAAAGGGTAGTCTCCAAAAGATCTGAATTTCATGAGATTGTAATAAGTCAAAACGTTGAAAAAAGATCTACATTTTTATAGGCAGCTCATGAACAGAGAACATGGAGGCAACGAAATGGTATTAAAAAAATGGAAAGATTCTCCGAGGTAACTGAAAATTATTTTTTTTTTAAATGTAAAATGATAATTACGAATATAACAAGCTTCGATCTCACTCATCAAACGAAAATTAAAATTAAAATCAAATGTTAAATGATATGATATGAAGTGATTGTTGTTTCATTATTGCACGACACTTCACTGCCTAAGTTTAAAACAGTTCAACTTTAATAGCTTACCTTTATTAGATTTCTTTTCTCTTTTACGCTTTCATAATTGCTTTTTCATTTTTTAAGAAACTATTTGATATAAAATTAAGATCTCCATTTTTTCTTAATACCAAATTTTATTTTTTATATAAAATTATTTGATATATTACTAAAATTAATTAGTTAATTGTTTGATAAACAGTAAATTTTATGTTCTTAAGAGTTGCTTAAATGGTAAATGACTTGATATTACTTAAGCAGATTTTGAGTTTGAATTTTTGTGTATACAAAAAATTTCAACAGAAATTCTCGTTGGAAGACATACCTACTAAAATTAGGTGTGTAACTCAAATTGATTCGGATTATTCATGACACAACTTTGGGAATAAAAAACGCAATAAAGAAATCTCTGTTTATTTCACAGTTTTATATTTATTAAGGTAGTGTATTATCTTAGGTGACGTTTGGTTGTTCGCTGGAATATCTTGGAATTAAAGCGAATTGGAATCCAATTCCACCATTTTCCCATGTTTAGTTCAAGTTTTCAAAGGGGGAATTTGAATCTAATTCCATCAAGGGAGGGAAAGTAAATTACATCCATAACATGATGAAATTAAAATCATTTGGAGGAGGGAATATGAAATTTGACCATACTACCCTCATCAATTTTTTGGTATTCGGGTCGGATTTTTTTAAAAAAAATCGGGATCGGGTCTGATTTTTTATTAAAAAAATAGGTTCGGGTCGGGTTTTTTTTTTAAAAACAATTCGGGATCGGATCAGGTTTTTTTAAGTGTGATATTAGGGTCGGGTTCGGATTTAGGGTGAAAAATACCCGACCCGAAAAAATATATAATTTTACCTTATATATTTATGAATAATTACAATAATACCCCTCTATATATAATTTTTTCAATTAAGTTACAGTTTTTATTAAATAAAAATAATTTTTTTATTATTTCGGATCGGGTCGGGTCAGGTTTCTAATTCATATATTCGGGACGGGTCAGGTCGGATGAAACTTTATTTTGGACGGATCGAGTCTCGGGTGGAGATTCCCTTGTTCTCAGGTCGGGTTGGGTGAACTAAAAACCCGTCCCAACCCGACCCATGGCCATCCCTAATTGGGATGATTTTAACCTATGATATTTATTAGTATAATTTTTATAATTTATTGAAATGAATAATCAATCAATAAAATAAAATTTTAATATTTTTAAAAAATTTATAATATATTGCTACATGTAAGTTATAAAACAAACTAAAATTAAGCAAAAAAACAAAAAGGGCAATTCTGTCATTTCACATTACTGAAATCAAATTCATCTGACATGTATGCGAATCAAACAGAATATGAAATTATATTTCAATTCAATTTTCTGTCAACCAAACATGTTTTAGATTCAGATTTCAATTCCTTTATAGATTTCAATTCCCTCAAAAATATTCCAGCGAACCAAACGTGATTTTCTATTTTTGAAATAATAATACTCTCAAAACAAATAATTTCCACATTAACTTCGAATTAATTTAATAATTATTTTAAATTTATTTTTTTTTTGTACAAAAGATAAACCTACACATATATCATAACGGTTAGTTTGTGCTATTTGATGAGTATAATCAATACATGAAAATAACCTTCTGAAAATTCAACAGTTTCGTATCCGACGAACCCAACCCAATAAAACCGAGCAAAAAAAGCACAGTATAATCATCGGCGAAGTTCAAAAAATTTAAAGCCAAACAAGTAAAACATTTCCTAAACCAATAGTTTTATTATACTCACACAGACAAAATGCAAAGCAATTCACTAAAAAAACCCTAGAAACAATGGCGATTATCACAACCCGAAGCTCTTTTAGGTAAGATCATCTTCTTCCAGTTCTTTAGCTTTAAGCCTTTCCTTCAATCCAGTAAAAGGTCGTCTTGCAAGAATCCTGCATAGCATTATACAGAAACAGCAAGCACGTTAGAATTGCAATTTTAGGGGTCAGAACCCGAACCAAATGGATCCCCTTACACCACTACAGCCAGACAACTGGTTCTTTATATCTTATAGACATAATAGTAAAATCAGTCCTCATCATTACATTGCCTTCCAAATTTTACCCTAAACTTATTTTAGAGTTAATTGCATCACATATCCTCAAAGTATGACCTCATTTTAAATGATCCTTAAACTTTTGAATATTCCAATTTTATCATTAAGCTATGACTATCATTCTAAATTAGTCCTCAGACTTTAAAACATTTCAATTTAATCCCTAAACTATGACATTCATTCTAAATTGGTCCCCAAACTTTTTGAACATTCCAATTTCATCCCAAACTATATTTATATACTAATCACATCCCTTGTTGATAAAATCATTACACCAAGTCATATTATTATATGTTTGAAAAAACAAAATTTAGGTTAAACTATGATTGAAACTAATTACACATTTGGATGAATTTGAGAATAAAATTAGAATATTCAAAAGTTTATGACTAATTTGGAAAGAGCTTGTAGACACATCATTTCTGGTCCAAGACCAACAAATTAGGGACAAGGCCCAAACAACCAAAACCCAAGTGGCCCAAGACTTGTTCCAAGATTAGGGTTTCCAAGAAACCCTATTGCGCCGCTCTCCGTCCATCAGTTCATCCCAACACCGTTCCAGCCCCACAACCGCGTTCTCCTCCGGATTTCTCGGCACCAATGTCAAACATGCAACAACCATTAGACTTTAGGAAGAAAATGGAGACTAAAAACAGTATTTTATTGTCCTATAAATAAATGTAACGTTTACACACATGGGGACACAAGGATTACGCGCAAAATACCAGAAAAATACTATACAAAGTTAAAATCTTTTGTAACTCGTTTTGCAGTGAAATAATAGGTAAAAATCTTACCTTGCTTTCGGTTCGTTCTCTTGCATGCATGTCGTTTATACTCCATTTTGGTTGATTCGAAACAAAAAGCCAATGACAGAGGAGGGAGGATTTTTCGAACCTTCGTTCGTAGATCTACTCTCTTCGAGGCTTGATCTAAAAAAACTATTTAGATTTTTGGAACGAGTATACGAAGGGCTTTTAAAAAAAACAGAAACTTTTTATATTTTGTCGCCGGTGAGCGGCGGTTGGCGCCGTTCAACGGCGGCTGGCAAGGCGGCGCAACGACCGGAATCTGGAAAATGGGGTGGTTGTTCTTCAGCTTGAAGAACAAACCAGAGAAAATAACAAATGGGGGAAGATGTTTCTGTTTGGAAATGAGAGAACAAATGAAGTTTAATATTTTTAACTTAAATACTCGGCCCATTAACCCGATTTAGATCCGCGCGTTAACCCGACCCATTCTGCAGGATCCGCGTGTTTTCGTTAAAAAAGGGAAACTACACTTTTAATCCTCTTGAATTTTTTAAGGCTCAATATGATCCCTAACTCCGATTTTAAACTCAATTTTATTTCGAATTTAACTTTCTAATGACTTTCTTTAAATTTAACCCCTTATATATATATATATATATTTCGCAATTAATTTTTATTTTATTTAATATATATATATTGTTATTTATTATTTATTTTTTTCGTTATCATTATTGTTTTCATGTATATAAATATAATATATATATATATATATATATTTCTATTATTTTCTATATTTTATTTAATTTCGTTTTTATTCATTATTATATTATATTTTTTTTTTAAAATCTTTGTCTATTATTATTATATATATATTATATTATTATTATATTACCTATACAAACCTACCTACCCCACATTTGTTTCATTCACTAAATTTTTCCTCCCCCAATTTCGTTGAAATGATAGGAGAGTTGTTTAATATTATTATATTATATATATATATATTTTTAAACATTACCATATATATATATTATTTATAACTATTATTTTTGTAAATCTTTACTTATGTATATATATACATATTTTATATAATTAATATATATATATATTTCTATTTATTTTCTATGTTTTTATTTAATTTCGTTTTATTCATTATTATTATATTATATTATTTTTATTTTTTTTAAATCTTTTGTCTTTATTATTATTATATATATTATTTTATTATTATTATATTACCTATACAAACCTACCTAGCCCCACATTTGTCTTCATTCACTAAATGTTTCCTCCCCCAATTCCGTTGAAATGATAGGAGAGTTTATTAATATTAATATTAGTATATATATATTATTAATATGATGTTGTTTTTTTATCTATTTATTTATTTATTGTGTATATGTTATTCTTACTATTATTATCTTATATTTAATTTACTTCATTTTTTTATTTTGTTTATTATATTTTATTCACGTTATTTATTTATCTTTTTTTATTTTTTTGTTTACTTTATTTATTTATTTTATTTTATTTTCTATGTTTCTTTATTGAGAAAATCGCCTCAGTGACCAAAAAAAAGTTATAATATACGATTTTAACCAACTTTTTTTGGATTTGCCAAAATGACCAACAAAATCGCAACGCGAAATAAAAATCGCAACGCGATTCCCAGAATCGCAAATCAGTTTCCAAAATCGCAACGCGATTCTTGAAAATCGCGATGCGATAGTACAAATTCGCATTGCGATTTTCAATAATCGCAACGCGAATATGAAAATCGCAACGCGAACACATAAATCGCAACGCGTATCCGTAAATCGCAACGTGTATCCGTAAAATCGCAACGCGTATGGGTAAATCGCAATGCGTATCCGTATATCGCAACGCGTATCCGTAAATCGCAACGATAATACATAAAATCGCAACGCGTATCCGTAAATCGCAACGCGATATTTAAAGCGCCATTATAATCGCTACGCGTATTTTATTTTCAAATTACAAAAAGAATATTAAGACAAAATCCCGTAATCGCAACTCATAACCTAAAACCTAAAATCACAACTCAGTCCCATCTCCATCTCTCACTCTCTACGGCGAAGAAATCCGTCCCCATCTCCGAAGATTTCCGTCCCCATCTCCGGCGAAATCCCTCACAACCATTCACGGTCAGAAATCCCTCACAATATTCAGAAATGGAAAATCAACCTCCGAGGGTTAGTTTTTTTAATTATTTTTATTTTGAAATGTTTGCATTATTGTAGGTTTTTCATATTGAAACTGATGATAAGTTTACTGGTCATTTCAATAATAGATTAAGCATTTCACTTAGATTTCATTTCGCGTTAAGATTCTCTCGTTGCGATTTTCATTTCGCGTTGCTATTCTCTCGTTGCGATTTTCAAGTTAGTATTTGTCTTTGTCTTTGTTCTGTCTTTTGGTTGAAGTAATGCAATCCATTCAAGTTTCAATTTGCAGAAGAGTCGCAACGAGATAAATGAAAATCGCAACGAGAGAATGACTGTCGCAACGAGAGAATCGCAACGCGAAATGAAAATCGCAACGAGAGAATCGCAACGCGAAACCAAAATCGCATTGCGATTTTCATTTCGCGTTGCGATTCTCTCGTTGCGATTTTCATTTCGCGTTGCGATTCTCTCGTTGCGATTTTCATTTCGCGTTGCGATTCTCTCGTTGCGATTGTCATCTCGCGTTGCGATTCTCTCGTTGCGATTTTCATTTCAACCAAAAGACAAAACAGTGTTGCAAATTTTAGTTTCAAGAATAAACTACTACTTTTTATGTTTATTGTTTTTGGTATATCTTCACAGTGTAGTTTTTGGTATATCTAACTTGGTATGTTTATTGTTTTTGTAGAAATTTTTTTCGGCTCAATTGACCTTGAGAAATAAAGTCAGCCTGGCCACTACAATTGCAAAGAAGCTTTCACCTGCTCAAAGACAATTGTTTGAGGAAACCTGCTTCGGGCCATGGCTGAGAGTACAGCATCCGGGTGGAGATGCTAATTTGACCCATTTGTGGCTTCAGACCATGACATCAAATCTACCCGACAGTATACAACGTGGTGAGGAAGAGATATGGTTTCATTTTCCACCAGCGTATACTTGCTTTGGGCGGAAGGAGTTCTGCTTAATCACTGGTCTACGATTCGGACACGATGATGTAGGCTGGTACACTCGTCATATCGCCCGCCCATCATGGTTATCCCGGGTTTTTCCGGATGAGTCAATGGAGAAGCCGAACCTACATGTCGACGACCTGAAGAAATTATTTAATAAGAAAGCTGGTTTCACTCGGATGGAAGACGCCGATGTTGTCCGAGTATGCCTTCTACTACTTGTGTATGCCGGCTTTTTAGGCAGAGAGGCCAGACAACCTATTCATCGGGAGCTAATAATATTGGTAGAGGACCTGAATGCATGGAATCTGTTTCCGTGGGGTTCGTATATATGGAAAGCTACCTGGACTAAGTTGTCGTCTGCCTTTGATGACCGCAAAAGTTTGCGGGGCGATGGTCCAAATACACTTTGTCAGGCTTTGTTTGGGCCTTTAAGGTAAGAATTTCTATATAATGTTTCTAAAATTATAATTAATTATTTAACAATTACTAATTTTGTTATTATATTGTTTGTAGATTTGGATATTCGAGGCTTTCCCCAGCATGCGTACATATGCAATAAAAACGTCAAATGATATTCCCAGGGCTATTTCCTGGAAGAGGAAAACTCTGTTGGATTGGGAAGACTTAATACCATATGCCACAATAAATAATGTAAGTTAACACAAATACTTTCATATAATATAAACAAGTTATTAATAGTAGACGTTTAACTTTGTTTGAGTTTATATTTTAGGAGGCCAACATTCCATTACAAAGACTGTCACCCACGGAGGAAGAGCTTGCCACTGATTGGTGGCAAGCTAGTCAGAGTTTTTTGATGGCACGGATGATGAGCAGCATCCACTTCCTCCAATTCGAGAGCCATCACCTCACCTAGAGCCATCACCCGATCGTGACGACTATACACCTCTAGAACGAGAGCCATCACCTATCCCGTCACATCATCGAGCCTCTTCTCCACCATCACCTCATGATAGGCGACCGGCAAAGATGCCACGACTCCTATCTCCCTGTTCTCCACCTCCACCTCAACGGGATGAGTCAAGGGAGTTACGTGATGAGGTCAATGCCTTGCGTGAGGAGATCGGTACTCTACGCGATAACGATGGTGCATGGCGTGTGGAGGTGTCAACTTTACGTGGTGAGGTTGCCGCTCTACGTGAGATGATAGTATCGTTGCAGAATGAGGTTCATACTCTACGCAACGAGGTAAGTTTAAGATTTTCCATATTTAACTTAATGATAAATTTACTCGTAATTTCACTTAGATTAGCCATTTCACTTAGATTGCTTAGTAAATTTATTCGGTTGCTGCCAATTCTGCTAAACTGTGTATTCTTTAACACTGTGAAATAGTATTTGTCTTTGTTTGTCTTTTGGTTGAAAGTAAATTTATTCGGTTGCTGCCAATTCTGCTAAACTGTGTATTCTTTAACACTGTGAAATAGTATTTGTCTTGTTTTGTCTTTTGGTTGAAAGTAAATTTGTTCGGTTGCTGCCAATTCTGCTAAACTGTGTATTCTTTAACACTGTGAAATATATTTGTCTTGTTTTGTCTTTTGGTTGAAAGTAAATTTGTTCGGTTGCTGCCAATTCTGCTAAACTGTGTATTCTTTAACACTGTGAAATATTTGTCTTTGTTTTGTCTTTTGGTTGAAAGTAAATTTGTTCGGTTGCTGCCAATTCTGCTAAAACTGTGTATTCTTTAACACTGTGAAATAGTATTTGTCTTTGTTTGTCTTTGGTTGAAAGTAAATTTATCCATTCAAGTTTCAATTTGCAGAAGAAGAAATAGTTTACTTTCGCAACACGAAACTTAAAATCGCAACGCGAAACCAAAATCGCAACGCGAAATGAAAATCGCAACGACAGAATCGCAACGCGAAACCAAAATCGCAACGACAAGATCGCAACGCGAAACCAAAATCGCATTGCGATTTTCATTTCGCGTTGCGATTCTTTCGTTGCGATTTTGGTTTCGCATTGCGATTCTGTCGTTGCGATTTTCATTTCGCGTTGCGATTTTGGTTTCGCGTTGCGATTTTAAGTTTCGTGTTGCGAAAGTAAACTATTTCTTCTTCTGCAAATTGAAACTTGAATGGATAAATTTACTTCAACCAATAGACAAAACAAATACTAACTTCAGGGTATTAGTTTGAAACATATTTTCTTTGTTATCTGATGCATTTTGTGAACTATGATAGAATAATGACTTGGGTGAATACAATGCAAGTTTGAAACATATTTGTCTTGTT